ATAAGAACCATGGCATATTGTAGAAGGCCACATTCAATCCTCAGCCTTCTTTTCCCCACTCCATAAAGTTGCCCGTAAATCCACAGGACCAAAGAGCAGGTTATCGTTTACCAGACATTAACACTCACCGTGTTATTTTTTTTTCTTCCTAAAACCTCCACCTGCATCTTCCCCACCTAGTCGATCGCTCTTTGTGGAGGAGACGAAAAAATCCAAGAAAATTCTGCCCCTCTTTCAGCCTCACCTGAATGCCTGAACGCCACAGGCCTAATACGAATTCAGAGCAGTGATGTGATAGCTGTATTTAAAGCCGGTGTGTGATGATCCCTCCTTTTGGAGAAACTGAAGAGGTTAATTAAAGTGGTTTGATAGAAACAAAAGAATCCACAGCTCCAGTATAAATGCGCTGCTAAAGCAACGTACAATACAAATAAGCATTATAATGTCTAAAGGTCTTTTGAAAAATGATTTATTATTGCTTAAATTACAAAATTATATTCTCATTTCAAATTTAAAAAGCAAATAAAAGATGAAACCTAAGACTTAAAGGGAAACTCAATTTTAATTTTTTTTTTTTACCTTGCTGGTGATAGGAACCAGGAGTCGTGATGTCTACATCGTATAGCAGGGTCCAAAGGTCTGAGACCACTTACCAAAATGCTTCTATTTTGCATTCTTTTCTAATTTACTACATTTTCCATCATAAATTACCAGCATAACAATCTGAGTGAAAAGCACAGACTTCAGGATTTCTCTGTGTTTTGCTTTAATGACAGTTTTCACTAGAGCTGGCATCGGCTCCACACGTCTGTGCCTCTGATTAGCAGGTCAAACTCAAACTGAACATGAGCTTCAGTGAAGCAAACTTTAAAAGTGACCTTTTTGTATGATGGCCTCAACGTCATCACAGATTTGCTTAGAAATAGTGTAGAATCTTCAATATTTCTCATTTTACTCGCTACTACTTACATTTTACTTCATTATAACTTCTTTTTTCTTTTTCTTTTTCTCAGACTTTTGGACCGCACTGTATATACCTATTTTATTCACCGTCCACCACCAGTGAACCTACATGTGCCTTCTCAGTTTTATATGGAATGCTGTTGATGGTAAAATAGTGGAACAAAGTGAAAAATAAGTTTTCTTTGGGGACTAGTTTGCCTCAACCTTCATGTACCTCTCTGCCTTGCATGTATTTAAAAAAGCAATGTTTCAGGCAACAAGCAACGCATTTGTAACCATTAATAAACAATTACCCAGCAATAACTTTCTGTGAAGGAGCTTTTAGAGGTGGACGTCTGGTTCCTATCACCACCACTGTGAACAATTCTGACTCAGTAAGTTTCTCTAGAATTTCACATTTCACACCAAACTACTCTGAATGACTCTGTTTACATCCTAACCATTTCATTTTGCAAAAATCCCTCCTTTATTGTATTTGTGATAAGCTACGACAACTCTTGTCCGTAAGACTGAAGCTTTAGCATTAGCTAGTATTTAGCCTAGTTAGCTATTGTGGCCTTAACTGATAGCAGATGGTAAAAAATGAGAGCCGCATGTCATTAAATCAGCCATAATTTTATTTTGTACTGTAACTTTTTTTCAGTACCAGATAAGAATCAGTAATGATGTAAGCTTATAAACATTAGCAATGCAGGCTCAGGAAACCACTGTTCATTATACTACTCATTATATTATATAATGTCCAGGTGAATATTAATTGCAGACCAGTACATTCAAAATGTGATGTCTCATAAACTGATTACAGGCTATTATAAACAATATCAACTGATGACAACAGCTTGGAGGAGGCTGCGGCTGCTGACTGCAACACAGTCATAAGTCCAGCCTGTAGTTTCTACTAGAGCTGAAAGTTTTATATTGAAACCGCAATTTGAAAGACTGCACTTTTCAAACTCTAAGAGCTTCAACTGCAGAGTGATTATGCAGCTCAAGCAGTTCCTAGGTGGCTGCTAGAGTGTTGCTAAACGGTTACTATGGTTTTTCAGGTGGTTGCTAGGGTGTTGCTTGGCTGCTATGATGTTCCAGGTGTTTGCAAGGATGTTATGTGTCTGGTATGTTGTTCCAGGTGGTTGTTAGGGTGTTGCTTGGCTGCTACGGTGTTCCAGGTGGTTGCTAGGGTGTTATGTAGCTGCTATGGTGTTTCGTGTGGTTGCTAGGGTGTTCTTTGGCTACTATGGTGTTCTAGGTGGTTGCTAGGGTGTTATTTGTGGCTGCTATGGTGTTCCAGATGGTTGCTAGGGTGTTACTTGGCTGCTATGGTGTTCTAGGTGGTTGCTAAGGTGTTATGTGTGGCTGCTATGGTGTTCCAGGTGATTGCTAGGGTGTTACTTGGCTGCTATGGTGTTCTAGGTGGTCGCTAGGGTGTTACTTGGCTGCTATGGTGTTCTAGGTGGTCGCTAGGGTGTTCTGTGGCTGCTATGGTGTACCAAATGGTTGCTAGTGTGTTATGTAGCTGCTATGGTGATGGTGTTCCAGGTGGTTGATAGTGTGTTATGTGGATTCTATGGTGTTCCACGTGGTTGCTAGGGTGTTATGTTGCAGCTATGGTGTTCCAGGTGGTTGCTACTAGCTATGGTGTTTTCTAGGTTGTTAACTGAGCACTTGAGTGCCTGTGCAGATCCCTAGTATGCACCATGTGGGTCTTTACTCGCATCTGATTGGTCCAAGTCATCAATTTGTGATTGCCCCTTGCAAAGCAACACTATTGTTTTGTCACAAACAAAAAATGTGTCCAATATCACTATTTTTGAATAATAAAACTTTTGATATGTATTCCTGTGTGATGCTAAATGTATCATTTTGCTGCCACCTAAAACAGTTGAAACCTGTTTTTCTTTTTTTGTTCTTCATGGTTAACTGGATATCCCTTCATAAACTCATATGGATACTCGACATCAAAATAAGTTTCTCATTCCTCGTTTCTACTCCACGCAGTACTGTGGTAAAGCTGAGTACTGTGCCGTATCAGTATACGCCGATCTTTCCCAAAAACCAGGCCTGAACCTTAATCCATAGAAATTAACTACAATTTAAATCAAAGTCACACTACTGGTCCGAAAAGAATCACAATTAGATGCTTTCCTCAAATCGTTCAGCCCTCGTTTCTACTCCACGCTGTACTGAGGTAAAGCCGAGTACTGTGGGCTGTTACGATTGCCATATCAGTACAGGCTGGAGAGAGAGGGGGTGTGCGTGTGTATGTATGTGTGTATACACACCTCAGTGGTCTCTACCACTACTGTCATCAGCCGGCCAAGCAAATCAGAAATTACCTGTCTGCATTGGCTGCCTGTGAAAGGACCTGTTGGAGCACCAAATAAGAAAGTGATGCACATGCTTCCCTCACCAGCAGGTCAGAACTATCGCTGCCTCGCCAAAGAAAAGGCCTGTCTCTGAATGTTAAGTGCTGAGGCTCATGCCAGAGAGAGGGAGAGAGAGAGGGAGAGAGGGGGAGAGAGAGAGAGAGAGAGAGAGAGAGAGAGAGATAAAAATGCAACAAGTTTCCAGTGTGTGGGTTTGTGGGTTGATAGGGCAGGTACCAGAGGCACCACCTTGATAAATATATATCCCCTTTTTAAAGAACATACTTCAAGAAAAAATCTCACATTAGGATTTGCTACTTCAGGTATGTTCTATCACTGTAATATTGTCATATAATCTGTAACGTATGTAATGTTTTGTAAACTGTCTATTGAACGGTGAACTCTGGTGCTGGACGCAAGAATGGGAACGTATTAAAGGTGAATTCTGTGCAGTTTTTAAAACTTCTGCATAATTAAACGGTTAAGATGTAAACTAAGTCATTCAGAGTAGTTTGGTGTGAAATGCGAAATTCTAGAGAAACTTACCGAGTCAGAATTGTTCACAGTGGAGGTGATAGGAACCAGTCCACCTCTAAAAGCTCCCTCACAGAAAGATATTACATGAAATGGTTATGAATTCACTGCCTGATGTCTGAGACACTGTTTACCATAGTTTTAAAAAATTTTTGTCTTAAAACATATTTTTTAATACATTTACTCCAAAATAGGGTGACACCAAACATGACATCTTGCCTAACCGACTGTAGTTAGGTCACAGGTGGAAGACCATATAAATCTGAATGACCTATTGCTTTAAATGTGTTTGGGTTGAAGGATGCAAGTCAAGAATTCAATTGTATCTCGGGACAAAGTGACGGGAACTTATTCTGCGGTTTGAAATCTAAACACATTTCACCCCTGAGAAAGCAGGAACTGAGCTACAAAAACTGTTTCCCCATCAGCGCCACGCCAAGCCCTCCATAAAAAGAGAATGGCAGGTAGGGGAGGGGGTGGAGCCCGTCGGATGGAGGAATGAAAACATACAGACTCTCTGCTTGGCTATGCATGTCCACCGTCAGCCCCCTCAAACTAATTAGAATTGATTTATGATGGATCAGGTAGCTTATCAGGTGCAGAAAGAAATTACCATGGCTAGCCAAGGGGTGCAAGGGTCACCATCGAATAGCAAAATCAATTTGCATTGATTGCAAAAGGTTCATTTTGTGAAAAGAGGGACACAGTCAAAGGGATTAAAGTTAACCAGACAACTTTGATACCACACAACAGGCTGCTGCTTCTTTTACCTTCTTTACCTGCTTGGATAACATGCACTCAAAAAGATTATAAATATACCCGCTGTCGCCGACGCCTCGGGGCACATCACACACCGGCTTCGCTATTGATGTCTAAGTGACATCTGCACTTGCTGCAATAATAGCGCAGACACTCAGGACAAATGCTAACACTTATATTAAAAATAACGTTCAGGCAGGAGGGGCCGAGTCTAAATCTCTGAAATTGGAGACCGCCAATTCTCCTATGTTGTTTAAATGGTGAGAAGGAAAGCAGATACAGCAAAGAGTAGGTGCAAAGAGGAATCTATCTTTTGCAGCAGTGTGACAAGCTCCCCAAACCTCCCCCCCACACTCAAATCCTCTCCCCACTCTCGCTTACCTTCAATCGCCAGCATTGCTCTTAACTCCCGGTTCAACAGCTCGAAGCGTCTCTCCAGATCATGCTCCCTCTCCCTGGGCAAGTTGTAAAAGTTCATCAATATGTTAATTACTAAATCATTAAACACTTAAAGAAACCTTTAATAAACATTGATTTAAGCACTCGCCGACACCTTGCCGCTTCGCATTAATCTACTGCAAAATAAGTGATACCCAAACGGCGGCGAGAGAGGCTGTTTGGGGTGATAGGACGGCCGAGAAGAGAGAGACGATGATACGGGCGGGGGCGAGAGGGGGGTATCAACGAGCAAATTTAATTTCACCTCTTTCAAATGTATTGGAAATGAGCTAATTCGGAGCCCGTAATAGAATTTGTCCTTCAGAGCCCGTTTGGCGACAAAGAGCGGAATGAAAGAAATAATAATAATCGAGGCCCTTTTAATTGACCACTTAAAACGCCGTTTTTTTCCAGTGATATAATGTGATTAGAATACTTCAATCTGTCATTTGTGAGGGCTTGGGAACTCACTCGCTCACTCTCTCTCTCTCTCTCTCTAGAATGAAAAGCAGCCCTGATTTATTGTGAGTCCCATTTACACATTCAAATCAAAGGACAGATGACACAAATGAACATCATTTCATTGGCAGATCCATTCCACAAGGCATGTAATGTTGTATAATATCAATAATAATGCCACAAAAAAAAGACAGATTTAACAGCAAAATACGCTTCTATAGCTTTGCCATGTGTTTGCCAATGGTTTGAAAATAATCTAAATGAACCCAAATGGCTATTAAGCCACTATGGTATCTACTGGTTGATCCAATTCAGCTAATGGATAGAATAATATGAGCAGTGAATTTCATTAGAGCAGTCATGTGATGACGCTATTCCATTTCTCCGGCTGCACTGGGGGGAAAGGGGTGGGGGCAGTAAAGCCGCTGTACCCTTCACCGGTTGACCTTGTTCTTGGGCCCAAGTCCCCGGGGTCTACGCTCTGAAGTGTAGGACTCGGAACATTATAGGTGTGTGTACACAGTCACTGATTCTTCAACAAGAGAGACAAACAGACATATGATGCGCCCCAGCTGTGTACTGAGCACTAATTCTTTAGTATGTTTTCAGTATATAGTATGTAGTTTAAATGAAATATATACTCCAATATATAAAAATCCAACGTGCATCCTTACGATGGGCTGATTTATGAAGAGTTCCACAATGCAACACAAAGCAAAATGGGTTGAGCTTTTGGAAAATCTTGGAAACTTAGCAAATGCCTAGGTCAGCTAGCTGGCTGGTTGCAGCTTACAATTAATTTTAGGTAGCTAGCCAGCTAACAAGGCAAAACTGGCATTTGTATACTCGGCTTTATCTAGCTAGCCAACACCACCAAGCTGGAACTTATGTACATAATTTTATCTAGCTAGCTACCAGGTGCAAGCTGAGACTTATACACACAATTTGAGCTAGTTAGATAACACCACCAAGCTAACAACAACAAACTGGAACTTACATATTCAACCTTAGCTAGCTAGTTAATATGGCCAAGCTGGAACTTGTATACTCATTTATCTAGCAGCTAACAAAACCAAACACAAACAAAATCAAGCTGTGATATATATATATATATACTCAATTTTAGCTAGCCAGCTAACAATATCCAGCTGTGACATATATACTTAACCATAGCTAGCTAGTTAACAAGAGCAAGTTGGAATTTAAACACTCAGGTTTAGTTAGCAAGTTAACAAGTCCCAGCTGGAACTCAGCTCAATTTAAGCTAAGTAGCTAACAAAAAGCTGAAACTTATAAACTAAATTTTATCTAGCTAGCTAACAGGAGCAAGTGGGAACTTATTTACTCAACTTCAACTAGTTAGATAACACCACCAAGCTGGAACCTCTATGTCCAATTTTATCTAGCTAGCTAACATGGCCAAGCTGGAAATTATACACTTAATTTTAGCTAGCTAGCTAACAAGATCCAGCTGTGACATATATACTCCATTATAGCTAGTTAACATGAGCAAGTTGGAATTTACACACTCGATTTTAGTTAGCAGGCTAACAAATCCAGGCTGGAACTCATATACTCAATTTTAGCTACACAGCTAACAAAACAAAACTGGAACTTATCAACTCAATTTTTATCTAGCTAGCTAACAAGAGCAAGTGGGAACTTAACTATACCCAACTTCAGCTATTCAGATACCACCAACAAGCTGGAAACTTGCTCTATTTTATCTAGCTAGCTAACAAGAGCATGCTGTAACTTAAATAATCAGCTGTAGTTAGCTGTTATCTAGCTAACAAGTCTGAGACGGAACTCATCTGATTCATTTTATCTAGCTAGCTAACAAGATCAAATTGGAACTTGTATACTCATTTTTTAGCAGCTAACAAAACAAGGTTAGAACTTACACACTCAGTTTTAGCTAGCTAACAAGACCGAGCTATAACATACAACTGTAGCTGGCTACAGCAGCACTCGTATATAAGACCATCATTGCAGCTTCAAAGAAGTTTGATGAAAAAAATGTAAACGTGTAAATGTGCAAAACTTACTTTGTTTAGAAGCCTGAGGGTCTGTACAATGACACAGCAACATCGTTTAACCACTTCTCTTTAGTTCGAAATGGTGTAGTACGCTAATATTTTGAACACTAACCAGACATAATCTTACATCATTAAAATCAGTACATAATACGTAGCTTTTAGTGTTTAGTACACAGTTGGGACACAGCAAGAGAAACAGAGAAAGAAACAGAAACAGAAATAAAGAAAGTAAATAAAGAACTCACAGCAGAGAGAGCTGGTTCTGGCGGCGGATCAGAGCATTCTTCTTATTGACCAGTGTGAACCACTCCTGCATCATGGCCTCCTCCTCGTCCTTATTCTTCCCTATAGGAGCGCACAGCACAGCACAGCAATGACCACTACAGCTTAGCCACAAAACAGCATTTACAAACACTCAGAACATCATCGGGTTCTTCAGTACAGAGAGTAGCACTTTGAATAAGAGAAGCACATTTCTGATTTGTTATCAATTTCACTTGATTAGATTAGAGTTAAACGTCAACAGGAAATTGGAATTATGCATGTTATGCCTGGTGAAGTCAGCTACAGCACTACATCAACATCTTTGGGACACCTTGCTTCAACTGAAAAATAGTTGAATTTTCTCATTGTTACTTTTCAGTAAAATAAGAAAAGCTAAGTGCTAATACTCAGGGTATACAAGTGTATTTAAAATTACATGGTTTGTTCAAAGTGTAAGTAAATTATTTGTTGAACTTAATATATAAGAGCAAAAAATAACACATAAAATAGGGTTTGTGCAGATGTTATGGCATGTTATGTTTTATTTTGTCCCTTAATACACTAAACTCAGCAAATAAATAGAAACTGAGCACTAAAATTGGCAGAAAATGCCATATTTAAGTGTGTTCTCTGTGGAAGATGGACTTATTTTCACTTAAAAAAACAACAAAATTATTTATTTGAACGGAGACGTTAAAACGTTTGCACACGACTGTATTTAGCGTATATGTTTGTCAAGGTGTCGAAGTATGAAGAGCAGACTTTGCTTACTGATTTTTCTTTTTCAGTTTTCTTTTCCAGACTAATGTTAAAAGCACATACTTAACTTACTTTGGTCCAAATGTGGTTTAAACACCTGAAGGGTTTGAGTGCTGATGTCACAACAAAGAGGACAAAACGCATGGCCTTTGGATTTATTTGCATTAAGGTATGGTGATTCTTCAGTTCTGCAGTTCTCTCCAATACAAACGTCAGGATCTAATCAGTTTGTATTTAACATCTTTAGTTACATTATGATTCAATAAAACGCTTGGTGCCCTCAAACTGCTGATGTCCAGTGTACACGTCAAGCTAATACTCTAACTTCAGTTTGTAACTTTTTAGCGATCACAGTCCTTTTTTTGCTGATGAACACAGACAAACACACACCAAAACTCCTGTCTTACTTTCTCCGGCATGGTTAACTTGAGCACTTTTCTCAAACCTTTTCCTCCTCTGAGCGAAGTGCATCAAATGAGATTAGCCCACAGGCTTTTTCTCAGCCACACAGATTGACACGCAAGTTAGGAAGCCGGCCAGAAGCGTGTTCAGTGGCAACATATTAGACACTTCACAAGACGCTGCCATTGTCAATAAAACAGAGACGGCGCTGGATTAGGTGGCTGGATTACGGGCGGCTGGTTATGTTCCCACACTGGCTGGGATTAACACTGAGCTCCAGAGACTTTGTGCTGCTTCAGAAACCACCGCCGCTAACACCCTCCAGACTGGAGACGGAATACGTACGAGGCCTTATGGTGTGTGCATATATATATATATATATATATATATATATATATATATATATATATATATATATATATGAACAAGATGCCAAACTTCCACTGTAGGAGGAAACACAGGTGAAGCCACGCCCACTCTACAGGCCACGCAAGGCTGGAGATACTGGCTGATCTTAGAGACTGTAAATTCCATATCGGTTTGTTTGTATGTGAAGGGTAAAATCAACAGAGTAAAATGTTCTATTAAATTGAACTGGAATCACTGTTTCTAACAATATAAAACCAGGTTGGATTTAATTAACTGTATAAAATAAACTCAGTATGCTGGTCCTGTTCAGCCTCATAGCTTTCAGCTAATAGGTATGAAGCTGTAAATAAAAACGAAGAAATGTTAGATGCGTCCAGAATGATGAACAGAGTTGTCGAAGGCTTTAAAATGATTGTAGAACATCAAGAATTACATTATAATAAAATTAACATGCAGAATGCCTCATATTTGAAAAGTGGTGATCGAGTCACTGTATAGAATTTAATCTACAGTACAGGATGTACAGTATATAACTCAAAATCCTTAAAGGTGGAATGAAACATGTAAAATACTTCTTAGCATCTAGCTTATAAGAAATAAATCTGTTTTATAAGCTATTATTGTTTAAAAATAAAAAATTTTTACTACAAAAGAGGTTCAGATTTTTTGAACGGTAGTTTATATGCATGCACAGCATACGCTGTATATGTTAGTCTCGTTTTAAGAAGCTGGTATTGCAGATTTGTTTCTAAACTTACTTTAGAAAGTTATGAATGCACAGTTCTGGTTCTGGCTCATCCATCCACATAAAAGCGTTTTATTTCTCTACCTATTTTTTGTAAATTTCATGATGAATGGATGGATAGAAATACTCCAAAACTGCTTGGAATAACATTTTTAATGAAAGTTAATTTCCATAAAAAGGGAAGAGTTTGTAAAGTTGCCATTTTGTAGATGCGTGTTTCTTTTTAAATGGACCGATTTCAAGAAAACTTTTTCGTTTAAAACACAAGCTATTAGAGAATAAGTGTCGACCAAAAAATATTAAATAAAAAAATAAATGAATACATAAACAAAATTTCAGAAGGCCTTTAGAGAAGCTATTCAATTGTTTAACTGTCAGTTTCTACAATTCCGACTCGTAAAACTGGATTCATATGGTCAATGTCTATAAGACTTGTTTAATTTCATGAAGCACCAAACTCCACCTGCCTGTGCTGCGGAGCTGAGTAATGGCTGGCGGGAGGTGACGGCTGAATCGGTTAAGTGGGTTGGAGATGCGAGACCGCCGTCGCCATTCTGAGCATTTCAGCGACACTAATTATTTCTTTGAAGGAGGGGATGAAAGTGGAGAAAAGATGAAAGATCCTTTAAGCTTATGTAATCACCTTCTCTACTCACTAACTCTCTGATACCCGGCTCCGCCTGACAGCATCAACAACAGAATTAGCGTCTAAACGCAAGTTTTACTGCTGCTCCTTTTTACTTCATGTGCTCTATGACACTGTATTACAGCTACAATATGAACAACAGTACACAGCATGGCTAAAAACAGTGGCAGCAGCTGAACTCAGGCCTCAGTATTTTCTGTACTTCAATCCATGTTTGTAGATAACAGTGTGTCAGTGTCAAAAACCACACAATCAAGTCTGTTAGAGATACTGAACTCCTCACGGTTTGAGGCAAATCTGAGATGATTCAGGATGACGCTAATTGGTAGGGCATAAGCTTCCATTACTTGTTAGATACATTAACCAGTGTAAAACTAAAGGAGCAAACTTCAGACACCAAACATGTCTTGGCTGACACCACATTTTGGGGAGGGAGGGAGATTGGTAAATTTTTGGCCAAACTATCGCTTTAATGTGAAGACAGCTTCTCTTATGCAGTAGAATCACAGAACAATTACTCGGAGGCTGTGGATTATGCTGGGAGATGGGATGTGCTAGAATGTTCTTGGATAACCTTCATTTGCATTCACTGCATAGTGTCATCAAAGTCGAACAGAGGTCACTTTGACCCAACAGTCCATAAGCTAACGGTCAAATACAAACATATACGGGACACATTAGTACATACAGACACTTACATACACAAAATACAAATGGGACATATCACTATATATACTTACATATATGCAGTATATTACTATATAAAGTTACATATGCAAAACATAGCACGTTTCTAGCGATACATAAATAAAGTATTATGTATACACACACACTATATATATTTATATATGTATGTGTATATATATATATATATATACACACATACATATATATATATATATAGTGTGTGTTTATACATAATACTTTATATATGTATGTAAAAAACATGTATAACCCATGTCCTGACAAAGGATAAAAACAAACTCGGTGGCGATGCTAAGGCCCGAGATGGGGGACTTTCAGAGAAAGTCCAAGTCTGAGCTGGGAACTCTGGTGGAGAGATGTTTTTTTTTTTTCGTTTCCCCTTCCCTCTTTTCTTACTGGGCACCATGTGACTGTGACGCTGGTCATGTGAGAGAGAGACAAATCCGCTGGCCACAACAAAGCCAGCGGCGGCTCAGCGGGCGACGGCCTTGTCAGTCACCAAAAAAAAAAAAAGATCCGTCCCGGCCCTCCACCGGGGGAGCGGTTCTCATGTCTGCCAGAGCCAGATGTGTGTAATTTTTTATTTGACGACGACAACGACTCAGAGAGAAAGGGGGCGAGGGGAGGAGAGGGGGGAAAAAAAGGAGCTGGGATTTGGGAATGGATTACCGTAGTCAACTTTTAAATAGCGCGGCTCGGAAGGGATAAAGTGTTGTGTGACAGGTCATTGTAGCTCCGCACAGCCAAATGAAACAAGCAAATAATAAATGGTAATATTAAGCTTGTGTGACATTGTGAGGAAGCGGAGGATTAGGAGGCGCATCGCGGAGGCCGGAGCCAGAGCAGGGCGGGGGGGGGGGGGGGGGAGGGGGGGTGGCGTATGCGTGTGACAGTGGAAAGAGTTCTGAGTCCTCATATTGTCATACACACTCTCTCACACACACACACACTCTACAGTGCCACAGACCTGACCTTTGCTCTTAGCTGGTTATGAACAAAGGCCACTGGAAGACGCTAACTCCTCAGCTGAGGTCAGAGTTTTATTTCTGCAGTTTGTTTTGCTGTCTTGCACATATTTTTGCTCAACTGTCAAAAATGACATTCAATCCAAGGTTGCTGCAGCTCATGACTTGGAAAAAAAAAGGAAATTATAACAAGAAAACACAGTTTGAAACATCCTGGCTGATATACGCAAAGTTTACTTTCTCCAAAAGGGACAAAAAGAGACATATAGACACACAGATGCTGAATAACCTAATAAACATATATTTACATTTATCAGATCATACAGTATCAACATTATGTTCCTTTATTTACACTAGAAATGGTTCAAAATTACTTAGTTAAATCTTTTACATACCGTTTTTTTTTCTTTTGTTACCGCTTGGGAGATATGAGATATTGCCATTTTTAACAGCTGAGCAAAAATACATGCACACTGTACACTAAAGTGTT